TTTTTTTTTTTTTTTTTTTTTTCTCGCAGGTGCCGTGGGTGCAGGCTGGGAGCGGAGGAAGGCAGGGGAGCCATGCTTAGTTCCTTCAGTTACGTGACTGATCACACTGGCTTCTGTGGTACTGTGAAAAACTCACCGAGTGACTTCGTAGTGACAGAAATCGAGATGCCTGAACATTTGTTTAGGGATACCCACGCTGAATCCCTTCAGAAAACCAGCGCCGTGCCACTAGAACTAAGTAGCCCGTACCTGCAGCAACCCAAAAAACTGAGAAGGGAGCCTGCAGGTGGTGCGGAGGGCTGTGGTGGTGGTGGCGGTGTGCCCAGGCCTTCAGAGCATGACCCAGGCCAGGCAGGAGGCAACTCTTCCGCATCCCCCAACAAAAAACACCACGAGGGTGAACCCGAACTGAAATCTGGCCTGGAGGAAGCCAGTATATTGGATTCCTTACTAGGCAAACCCATCAGTGAACGGCTTAATAAATTTGCTTGTGACCTGAAGGATGCGTGGGACTTGGAAAACAACGCTGATGCTGCCTCTAGGGAGTTCTCACTGGGACCTATACTGGACAAGAAAAACCGAGCTGATTTACACAGTGCAGTTAGGCAGAAATTCCCCTTTCTAGTCACTATTACAAAAGACAATGCAATGATTGTAAAAGGAAATGCTAATTACAGAGAACTGTGTCAGTTAGTGACTGAAAAGGAAACAAGTGATTTCTTTACATTTTTAGATGCAAAGCTAGAAAATTCTACATTTTCTTTTGAGCCTGATGGAAACAAAGAGCACAGAAAAGTAGTTCACCACTTTATCAATAGAAAATTTGGAAAACTTTTAGAAACTAAGTCTTTTACTGTGACAGGTATCAATGACCAGCCAAGTATGTCAATAATGGTACGATTTCGAGAAAAAAGTGGGTCAAGAAAAAGATCTGCTGGTGGTTTTCAGGAAAAACAAGATCTTTACACAGGTAAATATTGCATTTTTAGTGAAAGCTTCAGGTATTATGGTGTTCTTTAGTAAGACAAACTCAATCATTTTTATAAGGTATATAGGCCTGGTTGATCCATTGTTTATGTTGAATTAAATCATTATTAATGCAGTGTAGCTACATCACTGGAGAATAACATGGATGAATCACGTTACTGAAGGGATTTTACATAAATTGTTCAGTGATAACCGTTCTTTTGGTTGTTATGCCCTGTGTGCTTGATTTCACTTGAAAGTAGCTGGGGGGTTTTAGAAGATGCATCTATATGTTGGACAAGTTAGTAAGGTCAAATTTGATTTATGATCTCATTCCTTAAAGTGGTTGGTTTCTGATATAGATAATGTTTCTAGCAATAAGTCAATACATGTTTGTTGACTTGTGTTGCATTTTATCAGGTACTATTTTCAAAGGCAGCAGGGGTTTCTGGTTGTCCTAAGAGTTTTGTGTACTATGTCTTTATTTTTCAATACCAAAGAAGTCCCATTTCCTTCAGTTTTGTGGGGTGGGAGGACTGTTTCTTTGCAGTTTCCATGCTATTACAGTTTGAAGGGAAGAACCTGCCCATTTGTCAGGACAGAACACCTGTATGAATTAGAAGTGTAAACTCCTAATAATTCCAAATTGATTGTTTCAGCTTTCACCCTTCAGAAAGAAAATCTAGAAACATTAGAAGCAATTGGCTTCTTGGCTGCTGAACTTGGTGTTCTTCCCTCAGACTTCAGTTACACTGGCATCAAAGATAAGAAGGCTATTACTTACCAACCTATGGTTGTGAAGAAGGTGACTCCTGAGAGGTACTTAAAATCTGTGTGCATTCAGCTTAGCACATATCTTTATATGTCAATAAGTACGTGGTATGATCATCTGAAATGTTCTTACTGATGTGTATTCCCTTCTTCTGTATTAGAGCACACTGGAAATGGCTTTAATATTTTGTGGCTTTAGGGAATGTACAGCTTAGCACTGAAGTCCTCCGGTGCTGGAATTTAAAGGAAGGTCTTGCCTTTCTCTCTATTTTTCATAACAAGGATACACAATATCATCTGGCACAGTATCCTTCCAATTCATGCTCAGTGGGATCCACTACAATTTCTTAAATGCCATCCACTAGCTGGAACTGAGAAGAAGCAGCCTGTACTACATGATGCAACAGGTTTCCACATCTTGTCGTCCACAGAGAACAAGTTAAAAACTTTATACAGCTACAAAACTAAAGTAAATCATTAAAAATATACTTCAGACAGATGCTGTCTTTTGAGTGTTAAGTCTCAACTTCAACTGTATTGTCTAGTTTAGAAACATGAACTAAATAAAGAAAGTATCACCAAATTGAAGGGTAGGAAATACATTCTGAATAACATGTTAATAATACAAGATATGCCTTTCCATTCCTCGTTTTTGTTAGCCAATGCAGTGGGTGAATATATATTAAGTTCAGCCATAGTAACAGTAAAAAATTGCTAGAGTCAAAACTATAACTTATTTCTTCCTCAACTTTAACTTTCTACTGGATTTTGATCTTAGCAACAAAGTACACTTTACAGATAAGGAAAGTAGAATTTATGTTTTTAGGATTTATTACTGACATAAATATGTATCAATACTAAAATTCCACTGCAAACTGGGTTGTAAGACCAGTTGTTCAAGAGATAATTAGCAAAACTTTGCATTAATGTTAAAAGATTAAGCAAAATAGTTAAATGCTTCCAAGTCACTATCATAACAGGGAAAATAATTTTATAAATAAAAAATTCATAAAGTTATTAAAATATTGCTTAGAATATAAGCTCTTATGATGAAATTTTCCTTTGATTTGAATTACTGTTACTTACACATAAGAACAAAGAGATTGAGTGGATACTTTAAAGGGCAAATTCCTGAACTGTCAGCTGTGTTTCCAATTACAAGCATGTGCAAGCATACCCAGAGAAACAGTGCACTGAGTTTATTTTTGTTAAGGCTAAGCAAGAAAGAGCAATTGTGTTTTGGAGTCTGCTAGAGTACATTACTTTTTCTTTTTCTTTTTTTTTTCTTTTTTTTTTTTTTTTTAATGAAAAGCAGATTTTTAGGACTGAAGAGTAAATTACTTGTTTTTCAATAAAAAATGTAAATTCAGTGCAGTTGCCTTAAGAAAGTTTGTTGAATTACTTCATTCCAGTATATGTTGGACTACAGTATATAAGTGCAAATGAAGCAAATATTTAGAGAATATTTCTGGACTATTACTGAATTTTAAGATTTCTATCTCTGCATTTGATTTGGTTTTCTCATAATAATCTTTTAAATCACTTTTTTTTTTTTTTTAAAGTGTGTTTAATTCTAGTGCAAAGGCGAAGAGGACATCTATTAGAAGTTGGATAGCTTTAGTAGAAGATGGTTCATGATTTCTCCCAATTATTCATGCAGGTTGAAAGAAATCGGAAGCAAAATTGAAAAAAAAGGCATGAGAATACACAACATACATTCAGCGTGCCAGCACCTTAGACTTGGTCAGCTGAAGGGCAATCACTTTGATATAATTGTGAGAGACCTCAGACACCACAGTCATGACTCTTCTGCAGATTTGAGGGAGAGAATATCTGAAGCAATGGAAAATGTTGAGGTAAAAAAGCTTTATGGCTCCAATAATGAACAGAGTTCTAATTCTGTGCTCTACAAAAAAAAAAGTACTTCTAAAGAAAATGCTTATAATAGCACAATAATGGCACTCTTTGCCAGTTTTGATGCTTTTTGCTATTTTATGTTTTTCCTGCATTATTTAAGGAATCGGGAGTAAAGCTGCCTTCCAAGGAGGGACCATAAGTGAATTCATTCTGTGTTACAGACTGCACACCCCAGAGTGGTGCAGCAAGACAGATGGGAAATTTGGTAGCAAATAAGTGTGGATATATGAGCTATTGCTGCACACTAAGGCCAACTGCAGTGATGTGTTTCACTGTGGCAGTTGACGGGGTGGAAGAATATAGTTACACGTGTCAACTGGTTGCCTTTTTTGGTCACGTGAGGAACATGCGTGGTTGGCTCGAGTAAAAAACTTTAATGGCATAAATGAAATGTCTGTAGCAGAGAAAAAAGATCCCCTGAAATTCTGTGGATTTTTATTGCTGTTATCCTTAGTCCCTAAAGCAAACCCCACCAGACATTCTTAATCCACTGAGAAGAGTAAAAGCAAATCATAGAAAAGTGTTTGCAAAACACTTTAGGTGTTTCATACAGGAGTAATTTTCTTACCCTGTCTTTCTCAGTAATAACCATAATACAAATTAAAGGAGATTAATCCAGGAATAAAGACTTGAATGAAAACTACCCAGTGTGCAAAGGCAAAATACATTACATGTATTTTAGAAATTAATTTTATTATTGAAAAAAGCATTCAGCTGGTACTTTAATGCTCCTATCGCTCTCTGCTCCATCTGATTTTTTTTTTGTCTTGCTGTTTGGAAAATAAGTACAGATTCATATGGCCGTGTGCCTTCCTTTATTAGTTTACTGGCCAGAGGATGAATGACAAAACCAGCACATGTGTTAATCCAACATAACGATTTTTCACCTTCCATGAAACAAAATCACATATGGGACCTATAGATGTCCAAAGCAAGGTTATATAATTTAAACTGAATAACCATTTCCAAAATAAATGCCATAAGTTTTTTGCTTGTCTACTCCCATGAATACTTATGGATGTTCTCATTGGGTCACATGGCAGTGATTTTATTGGCCACATGTGACCTAGAACTCATCAGGAGACTTAAAATCCCAATTAGCAGAAGTGCTCACTCTTGGTCTTTACTGTTTTATAAAAATAAAAATTATCTCATGTGAAAAAACATTAGTATTTTGAATAAAACATCCAACAGTGGTTACTATTCATTATCTATGCTATCCCACATTTACTTGAGTAGAGATTTCATAACTTGATGCATATAAAAAACTCAATTACTTTGACTTGACCT